AGCATTATAAAGGGCATCTTTAAGTATGATATATAATAAAGCAAACTACCTTATGCCATACTGCTCCTAACGTTTTTTCCCATCATGAAACTTTACATAAATGTATAAAGTATTTGAACATCAAAAGAAATATAATAACGTGATCGCATATTAATGGTTACTTTATTGGCAATCATTGTAGATGAATAGAAATGAATAACTTTGTATTGGTGCAAACTAAAATGTGGACGTCCCTTCGCTGTGATAAATTGATATGTTTGTATAATGATACGTATATAATTTTTTTACATGATTGTATGATATAATTCTGATTGTGATATTAGTTGACAACATCCGTCTAGATTTGATACTGTCACGATAATAATGATAAAAATAATCAAAATGATAAAAGTAATGATAGCTTTTAAGAATGTAACAGATGAACATATAGTAACGCAAAAACAAGTGCATCACTTAGGTAATAAAACAAAATAACTAATTGTTTTGCACGGGTTGTGACACAGTTCATCTAGCAAAGAGTAGACACGATGGGGCTAAATATTTTACTGCTAAAACTGTGACTAGACGGACAGTGAAATAAATGATTAAAAATATTAATCATAATTGTCATTCAAGTAATTTTATGATAATCATAATTTTAATCCATTGCTTGATAAAAAGAATTAATGTCATGATTATTGTATGATGAATATATGGTCACTTTATAAGTGATAGGTAAATGTATAAACTTATTTTGGAATTTACTACAAAGTCTTGTTTATGTTTGAATATATAGGCAGTCTTCAAAAAGAAATTGGAAACTCAGTACCGCAAAAGCCGATGCTAGGGACGTGAAGGATGTTGCTCTTTTTCATTATCCCTGACATGCAAACTCAATAAAACCGAGTCTGCAATTTTTTGTTGTTGGATTAATGCTTCTGAAGGATAACATTTTGTCCAGTTAGATTTTCAAATTAACATGGGTACTATGAGAACTGGAATTTCGACCTATGTCATTTTAGAAACAAAAATTCAGGTCAATTGTATAATACACGTGTAATTAATTTCAGTCATGGATGACTGAATATCAACACCTATTCCATTAATATGAAAAAAGGCTGAGATTAATATTTAGGCAATTATAAGTGTTTTCATTAGTTAACAGTCTTATTTAGAAATACTTTGCATTGCATGTACTGCGGTATACATGTATAATATAGTCACTTTGCAAGCACACATGCACTGGTTGCTCACACATAATTTTGATACTTTTGCAGGGTCTTTTTAATATATTGTGGCTTAATTTGGGGAAAATTTGCATCTTTTTGAGAAATTCTATAGCTAAAAGACTACTTTGACATGAATTTTATTTCTTCTCATTTCATGTTTATGATTATTTAATGTGTACTTTTCCAAGGAATATGTCTAAAAAAGTAGAATAGAGTAGAAAAAAATAGAGAAAAACACAATCCCTAAAGAAAGTCCAACACAACAAAATTGAAAATTTTGCAGGATAGGTTCGATTGAGCCAGTTCATGAACCCTTCCACTTTTATCATACAATAATGCAGTTTAAGTTTTCTATTTTTCATATTATTTATTTCTCTTGATGTGTTAGGGAAATTTTTTTATGTAAATGGATAGTGTTTAAGACATTACTTAATGAAGAACAAAATCTGACAAAATTAATAAAACAATTATAAAGAACCTTTTTTACTGACCAACAAACCGGAAAACTGTATAAAATACCACCTGGCCACAGCTATTTACATAAATGAAAACATTAAGATTTTACAAATCGATGAATTGAGCCCTAGAACTATGTTGAATGTATATGTCACAAACATATATTCCAATTTTGTCAACACATTTAGACATGATACGTGCAGGAGGTAAATTATTAAAATTGTGTTCAGTGACAAATTGACTGAATCTTTTATAGTCTCAAATGTGCTTGCAATTGAGCAGTATGAAGACACTTATAATTACAGTAAAAGTTTGTTTCCATAAACATTGATTGTAAAACATACAGAAGATGCCAGAGCATGTCAATATCAGCAAAACAAAAGTAAAATTTTTTGTCATCATCCGATAAATGCATTACATGCAAAATAAACTGCTAATTATTACAAAAGAATCCATAATTTGATTCTTGATCCATATACCATGCCCATGATTGCTTTAAATCCAAACCAAATTTTTTTGTAGGGATCCCAAACGGACGCTGATTGAGCCAACCAACGTATGCTTGAAGGGTATGGTAGAACACACATTCTAACCAAGCTTTAAGAAAGAAGTAGTTTTGCGTGTACCGTTACCATCTACGTTATTCTTTAAGAATAAAGTAAAAAAAAAACCCTGGTTTTTGTTTGGGGTCCGCCTGGGCTCCTTGCCACTGGTTCTTGTTACTGGGTCGTATGGGGGTTGCGTTCATTGAACGCCGCCTTTCCTTGTCGATCTTGTTTATCATATTTCCTTGATGATCTTGTTTGCCTGCCCGTACTCTGCCTTGTGCCCTGTCCTGTTTTTCTTTGGGGTCCTCCTGGGCTCCTTGCCGCTGGCGCTTGTTGCTGGGTCGGGTGGGGGCTGCGTTCATTGAATGCCGCCTTTCCTTGTCGATCTTGTTTATCATATTTCCTTGATGATCTTGTTTATCATATTTTTTGATATGGAGGTTTTTCGATTGATTTATGAAGGAGTTTTTTCTGAAGAAATATACTAACAGATTGTTTGACTGGTTGAACAATACTCGAAAAAATGGGTATACGGACTGATATTCATATAAGTAAAAGTGGTGACTTTGTTTAAATGTTTGGATAAGTAGTAATAGGGGAAGAAGAAAATGTATAACATGTAACAAAGACTTATAAGAACAATAAGGTCATTGGAACACATATTCTGCAAAGAGTTCTTTTAAAAATCAGTGAACAAAGGACATACCGACCAATTTAATTCCAAAATATTTTTTTTTGTACGAAATTGCAGAAATTGACAATGGCTGAGCGTGCTGTTTCAGTATTCGTGGAGGGATTTTATTACTATAACCTAAATAATTAACAAACAAAACAGTGATGAAATGAATAACGTTCGATCATCAAAGGTTTACATCACATTTGTCAACTGAGAACTTCTCATCATTATTCTGCATAGATAACCTAGTTTTCGACCTCAAGTGACCCATATTTGCATTGACCTAGACATCAACAAAACAATCTTTCTAATCAATTTTAAGGCTACTTGGACAGAAAAAAACATCCCCTAGAGAGTTTACAAGTTTTTGTTACACATTTAGGCAATGTGACCTGGTTTTTATTACCAAAGACGACCCATATTCAAACTTGATCTTCAAATTATCAAAACAATCTTCCTGGCCAATTTGCAGGAAGTTTGAACTGAAGCAATAGTCACAAGTACATGAATAAGGTTTCACCGTATTCGTGCTGTATGACACAGATGATCGATATTCTAACCTGACCAAAAAATCACTAAACTAACCTTTCTGACCAATTTCCAAAATATTTGGTTTAAAAACAGTAGTCTTATTGGTTACTGACTTATTTCAAGGATATTTTAATCAAATCAGTAGCCAGTTACAATGTGTAACTCTAGTATGGCTAATTCTACATCTATGAAGAACAACTTTATCATGACGGTTAGGGAGAGATAGAGATGATGATTTATCAATACAAGGATTAATATCATGAAGTTACGTACAGCTTTGCCCAAATTTAATTTTGATTCAGAACAAATAAGATTTTACAAAGGTTCAAAATAGCTTTTAGGTAAGAGTAAATCAGCTGGTTGAGAATTAAAGGAATCTTTAACGAAAACATCTAGTTTTTCATTTTCTCCTATTTCAACGTGCCTTGGGATCTTACATAATTTGACTTTGTCTCTACAATATTAAGAAATCGCAAAAGGTGTTATCTTAATTGTATTGGACTTTCGATAATAAATCGATGAAATACACGCACGGAGTCTGAAAGAGCTACAAATGAATGACAATAATCAGTCACTTTTGCTACTGCAATAAGTATAAATGTATTTACAAGTAGACTTAGACTTGACAAAAATGAATTGCAAAAAGAACGGCTACACTTACTTTACGCCGTTCGTGTAAATTTGGATAACACTTCATGTTCCTTGAATTTTTCTATAGATTGGATGACTTCTTTTAATATTGAATAACTGTTAACTTCTGGTCAATAATGTGAATTTGTGTAAATTTATCATGCACAAATATGCAATAGAATATAATTCAACTTAAATTTTTCGTTGTTAATTGTTTTGAATGCATAAAATGTCAAAAACGTGAATGATTTATGGATTACTGATATATAAGCCTAATGTCTCTTTGATATGTGCTTAGTTATCCGGGTATTTAATTTTGTTAAAACAAAAATACCGCTTGATAACAGCAAAGATTTCTTAGCACATCGTAGTCTTTTCTATTCATTTTTCGTTATAATGTTTGAGTTTAAATACCCCCTTGAATTATAATGTCCAATTTATTGCCGCACTAAGCGTGTGTGTAGCAACTATGGGTGATCTTAGAAAAAAAAACTGTTTTTAATATCTGAATGCCGACAACTAGTGATGAAACCTTTTTTTCCCCCGGAAACCTTTTTGTCATCATAATATAAAAATATTTTTCCCGGGCCCCTTTTATTAATTTCGCCATCGTTTGCTGCATTTTGGGAAAATTTATTTTCCCGATATACTTTAGACCCCCCAAAACACCTTTTTTTTTCCTTCCAGGAACGATCAGAAAAAAAATTTTTTTCAATAGATTTTTTTATTGAAACACAGTGAGATCAAATTAAAAAATTTATCTAAATTTTAAAAAAAGTATTGAAACGTAGTTTCAACACGAAACAAGACAGATAAAAGAAATTACTTATTTCATGAAGCTTTAAAATTAAAAAAGCAATTTCTTGTATAAACAAAAACGGTAAAAATGATTTAAAAAAAGGAATCAAAAAAAAAACAAACAAAAAAACCAGGTTTGAATGTACGAAATCTTCTGAGGTGTAACTGATCAGCTTCTTCATTGTTAACAAAACAGTTAACCACTTCAAGATTAAAGGCACTATATTCTGTAAGAAGAATACACCACACTTACATCATTTGCATTATAACGTGTATTTGACATCAGATATCCCATGCAGGAAAAGCAAAACCAAATTACATTAAGATATGAAACTCGCAAATTGTATTATAATATCACAATATTGATATCAAAATATTAGCATAACAAAACATTCATTTACAGCTCAGATAGTCATTTTGCTAGGGGTTGTACTTTTATAAAAATAATTTAATACTTACTTAATAATTACTTCAAACAATTTTCTTTGACGACTTTTATAAATTGATTTTTGTATTAACATATATGTTTAAATCAGTTTAAATCATACAATGTTCTCTCTTGCAAATATAATATGTAACTGATTAAAATCCTATATGTACGATTAAAACATTAAGAATTAATATAACAAATGCTAAATGTCAAGCGCCTGTAAGCAATGAAAAAAAAATTTAATCATTTACTTTAGACTGTAAACGTAAAATGTGTCACATTTAAACTGTAAACTTCTTTTATCAGCTTAGATGATTAAACATTGAAACAAAGAACAAATTTAGTTTAAGTAACATGAAACTCAATGCAATTGACATATATATATTTAAAGCGATTTTAAACCTGGATTTATATTGCTGTCATATCTGTCTGTAATTGTCTGAAAGGAAATAAACAATGAACATAAAAGAACGATTGAATACATACAAATAGCATTCAATTTATTATAATTATATAGACTTCTCATTAAATAGAATATAGGATATTGAATGAGTGTAGGTTTTATACTATTTACTGTATGAGTTGAATGAAATCATATGCGAACCTCGGCAAGCATAATTCTGTTTTATTCAACAAGATCAATAAATTTATTATTGAATCTACAAGAATATAATATTCTTTTATCACATATTCGAAATAACAACGATTCACAGTTAAAAAAGGTCATTTTTCATTGACGTGGTTATAGTGTTAAGTGCGCTTTTACCTTATGTGTGCATATAACGCAAATGACGACACGTTAAAATGTTATTACAATAGTGTAATATCAGTTTTATTATATGACTCTATTACCGTAGGTCATGTGATATGAAGATTTATTGATCGATCATTATAAAAACTATTAAAACCTTAATATTGATTAAGGTTCATGTAAATATTTAATAGGTAAAGAAATCTGGAAACAAAGTGATCCTTATAAAACCTTTATAAATAATGAAATTGTACCTTGTTTATATAGTTTGAAAGTATATCCGAAATCGTCACACAATATTGATCAGTGTCTTTACTCTTTACTTCCTCATCAAACAGGCGTTTAAGCGAATCGTAGTTTTTATGTATCGAGTTCAGATCCTTTTCAAATCCTCGGTTCAATTAAGTTTCCTCTTAACAGGCGCCAGTACACCACAAGTGACATGAGGGCTACTAAATCTAATACAACTAGATATTAGATTTAGAACTAGATAAATCAAAACTTGGAGAATTCTGGGTTTTGTCATCTGTTGAAATATGAATGAAACTATTAGACTAGAAAGATAAAACATGTACATTTGTATATAGAATAGGTTATATAGACATGGAAGACTTTTAGAAAATGAAATAAATACCTGCTTTGTTGTGTTACCAAAATTTAACATGAATATAACTCTAAATTAGAGACATGTCATTTTTCATAATAATACGTACCAAATGTAGAGCATATGTTTTTGCTATAATTATCTAATCTATTCAAAATTGTTTTTGATTGTTTAACACGTAATGTGAAACTAATCGACAAGGAAATAAAGTATGTAAAGTATTAGCATTTATTTCGAATTTATTGTTAACTTACATTGTAAGACATTTTGTAAAAACAATAGTTAAAAATTCAATATTTCTAAAATTTTTGTCATCTTGATTTAAGATAAAAAAAACCCACTTACCTTTGATCTGAATAAATGTTAGCTAGATAAGCCAGATAATTTAGATTGGCACTCTAACTCTTTTCAATTTAACCGTCAAGGAAGAATAATTTAAAGTCACTGAAGTATTTTGGAAAAACACAATTTTAAAATAAATATATTGTAGTTTCAAATTTCTGTTTCGCTTTTATAATACCTACGCATACGTATTTCCTTACACGCAAAGCAAACCATCATTTTAAACTGTATACAATTTGAATATCGCTGGTTTGCCGACATTTGCAAAGTTTATGTTACATATAAAACCCATCATATAAAGTCCATTCTTGCATTTAACCATAAACTAAAATCCTGCACTAAATATATTTATATATTTTAAAGACGATGTAAACTTACAAATAAATAGTCATTTGTAATGTTGTCTATCTTTAAGGATACAAGTAATACATTTAAATTATATTCAATGTCGATTTGATAAAAAAGACAAATTGCTTATTTCGCTTCCTTTTCAATTTAATTAACTCTATAATAATCTTTCATTTGAATTTGAACTTTCAAATATTGAGATAAAACTAAAACTTTAAATCTTTGTAAGTATTTTTCTAAAAAGATAATGATCAACGTGTATTGATACAACGTGTTTGTTGTAACTGTAACTTTTTATAAACCCCTAAAGGTTTTGATAATATCGACTACACTAATATGGTAGACAACTCAAATAATTTTACAATTGAAACGGTGTGGAGAGTTGTCTTCACCTTAACATTATGTGTGTATACGATTATTCGACTTTGTTTTTATATTAGCATTACTCTAGTTATTTTATATGATACATACCTACAAATTCAATGAGAGAATAAAACAATTTTTTTAATTGTCTCAGTCAGTGAAAAGACATTTATCTGTAGCGTATACGGTTTGAGAAAACGGTAAGGATATATATACAAAGAAAAAATGATCAAATAGAAAAGACAGGCTATCTAGTGAGGTGGCAATTTAGTGACAGAAGGAAGTTCGAGAATATTCTATTATATAACAGAAGTACGCAACTCATATATTGTCAACAAACGAGTAATTTACTTTTATTATGTGATCAATATCATTGCAATCATTGAATAAATTATGCGAAAGAAAGAAATTGTCTGTTAAATCATAGCCACCATTTATATCACGTAGATATATGAAAATAGCGGAGGTTTAATGCAGAAGTAGCACACATGGTGCAACAGATACAAATAATGGTTTAATTCTATAGTTGAAAGAGTAAATCGATGAGTAAATGAGCCAATATATGTTGAAGTAGAAACAAAAAGAATAATGCTTACGGTTGATGAAATATAATATTTTAAACGCGTTAAAATATCTCTATGAAATTGTTTATTTTAAAAGATCATTCTTCAAATGACGACAGTGCTAACGTATTTAAGGCGACTTTTGTGTTCCGTCGATATGTATTGTTTCAGTAACGTATTGCATAACATCTATGTTTTTAATCAGTATACTGTTGCCATTTGACAAATTCTTCGCGTCTTATTACACTGAAAAGGGCAGATAAAATGTGACTGAGACAATGTTACGCCAATATCGTGAATGAAGTACCTAAGCAATGATAGAGTACCTGTGTGATACATATTTTATCTGCGTCTGTTACTTTTGGCATCATATGACATTTGTAGACCGGGGAAAGACTCCAGTATAAAAAAAATGTCAGGACAGTTGAATTTTAAATGAGCTATTGTACTTCTAAATATTTACGAAACACAAAGGTCGCTCTATCGAAATGTAGCCATGTAGGCATTCACACGAATAATTTTAAAGTTAAAAATAGTTATCATATTTGTAACGCTAGTTAAAGTATCTTGTATTGCAGCTGTATGCATTTATTTCTATTTGATTCCCTTATAAATACATAGTCCGTTTACTTACCATGTAACTCGTTTTGGCCAAACATTTGCACAGATTTGGTGTAACCTTTGCACAATTATCTGTTATTTTCAAATATCTGCGTAAATGGATAAAAATTGTGATATTTTGTGCATTAAATATGTATAAAGAGAAAAAGTAAACATACATTCTAGAATTAACACATTACATTGGATAGATCCTTGATATTTTATATGGCTAATTCAGTTGAATGTTTTGAATTATCTAAGCTAATTCTCTGAAATTACCTTATCGGAAACACTTGGTTGGGGCGTAAGAAATAAAACATTCTCTGTAAAATTATGTAACAAGAAGATTATTGAACTCTCTGTAAAAGAAGAATTCCGAGACAGGTCTTATATTTTATACAAGCTGAAAGCTTCAATTGCCTCATTATGAAACTTTAAAGGTTTAGTTAGGAACATACATGTATATGTATGTATAAAAACGTATATTTTTCGGTGAATGTGTGTTTCTTTCCTTTGATGACTGTAAAAATATTTTTATTAAAACATTATGATATCTATACAAGGAACGCAATCGAGTAGTAAATTAGGCAAATATAAACAAGATATAAGGATGTTAGCTGTTATTTAGCAAATGAGTACTAGGTTCAATAAATATTGATAGAGGTTAGCAACTCAATAATGTTCTAAACAGTAACACATGAATTTATCGAATGTTGTGTTTCACCTTATAGTATGTATGCTAGGATGATGACTGATGTGAGCAGTGACGATATTGTACGGATCGGATGTGACGTTGCAACATATACCTTGGCATGCTCTTTCAAATGAAACGGTGCTCCTATGTTACTAGACCATTTGTCTGCATGGCGGTATGCCAATTCACATGTTGATCAAACGTTTTCTAGAAGAACGCGTTCGGTCCCGTCTTTATGATGAACACGTTAACAAAGTGTTTAACATTGCAGGTCGATTTTATATCTTGAAACCTTAAGGTAAGCAAAGACGACACATAATAAAAGCCAGATTGTTTGATGTAGTCTACCACTTCAAGTTTTAATTACTGTATGAGGCATAAAATAAAATGCTGCCGTTATTAAGTTATACATACATTTATTACTATATTTTGTATCAGCAGAGTAAAGGTTCATATGATTTTGGGCGTTTCATTTGATCTTCTTTTTTTGTTTTATTATGTCAGAAAATAAAAGAAAACGCAATCGTTAAACAATATCATTAGAAGGGTGTGGTCATTATAAGCTAAACTGGTTGGGGGAAAAATATGCTTAATTTTTTAGAAAAATGACAAAAATAAATTTGCTTTAATTGCTAAATTTATTTGTTAATGAATGTGACAATCTCGAGCTGATAAAAGACAATTTAAAATGAATATCTGCCAATTGTTTTACTGTGCAAAACAGAAAACCGTATGAAATATATAACGAAAAGTCGGATTATGTTGACTTGAGCATGAAATAGCCTCAAATAAACACACGATGAATAAGTGTGTCTGAAGAGCCTAAAATAATAAAGGGTAAAAGGCTTAATGCATCTTTCTCTTGCATTAACATCTATGGCATTTTGAGGACGGAGTCCACAGAGTGACAGATAAAAACAGTTTGAAAACCTCTGTACATATTAATGCACGAAAAAAGGTGCATCATTGTTATTCTTACCTAAAAATATAGATCTCATTAGAGTTTTTGCTTTCGTATTTTTTTTTATTATAAACCAGGTTGCAGAATAAAATCTATAATAATATTGTCTTAGTTTGACACAAACATATTTCAACATGAATGATCCTATTCAAAATAAACCAACTGCATTCAACTGAGTCTCCAGAGCCAAGTTGCTTTGTTGAATGTTATTAAATTCTGTTCCGTTATAAAATCATGAAATTGAATTGTTCAAACATAATTTACAATAGTTTTCTAAATGTAAAGTAGTCAATACAGTACAATCATAAGTCTGAAGAAGACAGATTATTGTTGAAATAAAAAAAACAGTGTAATTGTACTGAACGTTCTAAATAGTCTTTCATTCTGATTTTTTATTATAAAAGTCATGCACAAGGGAGTGTTTGAGATCGCATTATTTGAAAACCTGATATGAACCATTTTAATGCAAAGTGTACGAATTGACCAAAATGATATGATCACGATTTTATTAAATCATTCTATTTGATCAACAAATTAATTCACAACTTGATAACCATTTATTTAAATGTAAGTTACCTTTCTAACCTTTCTAATCTTACATTTTTAAGTAAGTAAATATATATATTTTTGAACAGTGATATGTTCCGGTTCGATGATATATTTGACAACTTGAGAAATATGACACTATGAATGTTTTGAAAAATCGGTAAGCAACTGACATTTATGGTTTGATAAACGTCGCAAATAATTATTTCATTTCAGTTGGTTTCAACAATATTAATTTCTTCTTCAATATTTACAGAAAAAATTACAATCTTTAAATTGCTCTTAGGATTAAGTAGAAAGATTAATGGTAATATGAAATTCTCACCTTAATTGTTACCTTAATTCGTTTGCAAAGTAGTCAAGTCTTTAATGATTTGAAAAAAAAGATTTAATATGGGTTATTGCAAAATTACAATATTTAATTTGCGAGTCGTCAATAAAAACAAAAGCACATAAAACATTCACATACATCAGCTTTACACTTTATGAACAATTTTAAATTTCTGGGTTATTTCTAAGTCGCACTTGCGCTTGCAGTGTTAGTCTGTTACTTTGGGTTAGATAGTTCAAAAGATTTTTTCACAGTGTAATAAAGTCATTTGAAAGGTTGGCTCAATGTTTCTAATATACTCGAGTCCTTCCTTTGTTTTGCACGTGTATAGAATTT